CTATCAACCACCTTACCCTTCAACCCTGGAAAAACAGCCCCTACCACTTCCAAATACATGTTTCTTTTTCTCAGTACCTTGCTGTCTGAGTCAACATGGCCATCCACAGAGTAGCTGTCGTAGTAGAGGGTGAAGTCGTCTCCCACTTCAGTCTCCCATTCCTGGCCTCTTTCCTCCTGTGATGCAGTAGCTGGAGCAGTCGTCATCTCTTCTGTTACTGTGATCTGGAAATTCAAAGATATAGCTGTATTAGTCTGTAGAATCAGTATGTAGAAAGATCTTGTAGAACCTTTGAGACTAACTAAAATAAAGAAGTTGGCAACACGGGCTTTCGTAGACTTCATTTGAATTACCTATTAGCCCTTCTTCAACCTCAGCTCACAGAGCAGATTCTGCAGTATTAAGTAGCCCTTATCTGGAATTCCAAAACCCAAAATACTGCAAAATCCAAAACTTTTTGAGCTACCTCCTGTATTGTACAGTGGGTCCCTGGTATCTGGTGGGGTTTGGTTCCAGAATCCCTAGATACCAAAATCTGTGGATGCTCAAGTCCCATTAAATACAACAGCATAGTAAAATGGGGTCTCTTACATAAAATGGCAAAATCAAAGTTTGCTTTAGAAGTTTACGTATATTTTTGAATGTTTTCAAACTTTGGATGGTTGAATCTGTGGATAAAGAATCTGTGGAAATGGAGGGCCAAATGTATTTGTGAGGCTGGAAAGAGATGCAAGGATCTGCGAAATGGTGGGAGAATTGGATTCATGCCAAGCACTACACTTGGATTCCCACCATTTCACAGATCTTCAGCCTCTCTCCAGCCTCATTATATCTCACTATGTATATGCAAATACAGGTTGAGTCTCCCTAATCCAGAATTTCAAAAATCCAAAATACTTCAAAAAACAAAACTTTTTTCATGGTGGCTGAGTAACACCCTTGCTTTCTGACGGTTCAATGGACACAAACTTTGTTTATTTTATTTAAAATAAAATAAAATATTGTATAAAATTACCTTCAAACTATGTGTATAAGGTGTATAAGAAACAACTACATTTTATGTTCAAGCTTGGGTCCCATCCCCAAGATAACTCAATATGTACCTATATGCAAATACAAGTATTCTAAAATCAGATAGATAAATAAACAATTTTTAAAAATTCAAAATCTAAAACACTTCTCATATCAAGCATTTTGGATAAAGGAGACACAGGGGCTCTACAGACTCCCTGGAAGAGGTGGCTCAGTCCTGCCCCGGGAGCACTGGATCGGGGGCCACAGCAACCACACACCATGGCCCCAGTCCGGTGCTTTGCTGGCCCAAAAAGGCCGACAAAATGACGCTCCTTTTAAAAGCAGCAAAAAGATGCCTTTGCTGTGGTGGTGGCTTTTTTAAAAAAAGGTTTTGCAGTGCAGTGCATCTAAATGCTGCATTACAGAAACACTGCCCGCCATGTGGTCGGTAGTTGGTCAGTCGGCATAAGACTGGCATCGGGGCGTGCGGTCACCATGCCCCTACTGCACGCTGAGGCTAGCATTTAGTGCTGGTTTGCATAGCCCCTCAGCCTGTACAGATATTCTATAAATAAATAAATAAATAAATAAATAAATAAATAGATCTGATTTTTTTTTAAAAAAAAATCTGAAATACATTATACTTCTGGTCCCAAATATTTCAGATAAGGGAACTCGTACCGATATTCCAAAATCCCCCCACCCCAAAAAACAAAAACAAAACATAGAGCACAACAAAACATTTTCAATAAGGGATACTTGAATTGTAAAAGCATTAAGAATACACAAAAAGAATGACAAAATCACAGAAGTGGTAAACAATACTGCATTTTTAAAAATGCAAAAAAAAAAAAAAAAAAGCTGAACAAACATAATTTCAAACTGCAAACTACTGGTAATTCTTGCACAGATTGGAAAAATTACTTTTTTGGGAATATGACTCCCTGAATCCTACAAACAACGCAGACATTATAGGCCAAAAGGGCAACTTTCCCAAACTCTGATCTGTGAGAATTGTACATTTTGTGCTGGGTTGGGACTGTGGGAATAGGTCCAGGCACTTAAGAGAAAACCAAGAGAGTACAGAAGAAACTCCCTGGATGAAAATCTCGAAGGCAAGGGTCCAGCAGCAAAAAATTCATCTACAATACTTCCCACTGGAAGGAGATCAGGCCATCACTTGCATAGGAACACAGGTAGATGTGTTGGCCAGCTGGCTTGTCCTTCCTAATGTAGATTTATGTTACTTATTATTTTAAATTAATTTAATTCATATGTTGTCTGTCTCCCAATATGGGATCTAAGTCTGCTCACAATTTGTTAAAACAAAATACAGTCAGCCCTCAGTATCCACAGATTCTTTATCTATGGATTTCAACTATCCATGGCTTGAAAATATTCAAATCCATATATATTAATTCCAAAAACAAACAAACAAACAAAAACCCACCCACCCCCAAGAAACCTTGATTTTGCAGTTTTATATAAGGGACATCATTTTTCTATACCATTGTAGTTAATGGGGCCTGAGCATCCAATTGTTGTGTTTTGTTTAAACCGCCCGGATTGGACTACCAATGGGCGGTATATAAATAAAATGTATTATTATTATTATTAAAATGTATTATCCACGGATCTTTGTATCCACAAGGGATCTTGGAACCAGGGGATACCAAGGGCCACTGTACCATTAAAACAGAGTATAATTCAAATGTTTGAAAGGAACACACACAACTGCACAGTCATATTGAAAACATTAATTAAAAGTTTTAAAAAAAAAAAAAGCAGTTAAAGTATAATAGATAATTATACAAATACAATACACCCAATTCAAAGACCTTCTGCAAGAAGACAGATAATGCTCAATGCTTGTGTAAGATGAAAGCTCTCTTGCCACCAGAAAGAGAGCAAAGACAGGGCCAAGGCCAACTTTGCATCCTGTGGCAGGGAGTTCCACAGTCTGGGAGCAACCACCAAGAAGGCTCCCTCCCATGTCTCCTCAGCAAACGTTGAAATTTTGGACTTTGCACAATCCTGATCATTAAGTCCCAAACATCTGGTTGAAAACACTGAGGCACATACTTCCACATCTCTACCAGTAGTCCTCCCCCCACATGACTGACCCAACCACAATTTCACATATGTGTGTACACTATCAACTCACAAAATGTTGAAAATGAAGCACAAGAGCTGTTACAAGTTTATGTATCATTGGTAATTAACCTCTGAAAAAAAAATTCTAAGATGCATAGAGGCTCTTAAATTTGTGCTGGAAATATCAGAAGACAGACAACTTTTTCATATCTGGTGGACTTCTGAGAAAGCTAAAACATTTTGGACTCAAATTCATAAGCAGATTAAAAATATCCAAACTGTTCTTACTAGGACTTTAGATGAACAACAGGAGAAGGATCACAGAAGATTAATACAATATATGATAACCACAGCCAGAATGACCTATGCTCAGAGATGAAAAGAGAAAAGAATCCTTTCTCAGTAAGACTAGTTGTTAAAATTATATGATTCTGTAGAAATGGATAAGTTGACTATGTTGATACATGAAAAAACTATGGATCATTTTAAGAACGAATGGAAGGTGTTAACAGAATATATGAAAAATAAGAAGGGTTCTGTGATGGTTTTAGGGAAGGAATGCTATATCTCATAGAGAATTATAGAAAAATGTTTTACTTTGTTTAGGTCCTTTAAAGACTTATATTGTTAAGATAATATATTATTGTTGTGTGCCTTCAATTTTCTAGGGCAGAGTGTGTGACTTGCCTAAGGTCATCCAGTGGGTTTCCATAGCTAAGCAGAGATTCAAACCCTGGTCTCCAGAGCCATATTCCACTGCTCAAACTACTACACCATGCTGACTCTAATATTATATTAGGGTAGATAGTATTTTCAATATATGTATAAATTTTAGAACAGCTATAGGGAAATAAAAATAATTCTAAAGAAACATGGTCAGGCATGTTGGAAGCCATAGTTCCCTTGTTTTCATTTTGTCTATTTCCCTTTTTGTTTTAGGT